ATATTTTACATAATGCAACAAGACATGCAATAAAACTTTTATCATATGATGTAGAAAATTTAATTGCAAAAGTTTATGCGAAACTTAGCAATAGCTCTAAAAAAGTAGAAAAGTTTCGTGCTTTGACTTTGTAGAAATGGAACATGAGAAAGTAATAAGATATTCCAAAATAAGATGGTTATCATTGTTTCAAGCTATAGAACGACTACTCTCTTCGCTTGGCCTGCAATAAAATTATATTTTAAACAGTTGGGGAAGGAAAATGGTCATAAAGTGATTTGGGAATTTGTAGATGAACATGAACATAAAATGGAAGGTGATGAAAAAATTTCATTTCTAGAATTATATTCATATTTTGTTCATTATTTTATGTATCTAATGACAAAGTCGTTGTTGTCAATTGAAAAGAATAATTTGACATGTATTAAATTAAATAAAATAATGAGATTCTTAAAAAATAAAATGGAACTTAGAATAAAGACACTACAAAAATACAGTAATACAAAATCAACTAATCTATACCAATGTTCAAGCTCGTATGTAAATAAACACAATGATAACTTACTTAATATTACAAGGCCATGTAAAACGAGCAATAAAAAATTTATATTCTTGGATAAATTTTAATTTTAAAATTAATTACAAAATAAACTCTACTATTCTTAATTACAATAAACGTTTCGAACTATACTTAGTCTTCCTCACTACGCAAAATAATAATAAAAAATGTTCTAATAAAGAGTCGCAATACAATAGTCAAAATAAATTAGATAATTATGTCAAAATTAAAAGGCAAAATACGTTAATAAAAAAAAAATTACATATAGTTCAACGCGAAAATTCCAATTAGAAGCAAAAATCGAATTAAAATAATTTATCCGGCTAATCAAAAAATTTCTATTATTAAAACCTCGGAGTGGCACTTAAAGATTCGTCCAAAAGGGTCTGTATAGCTTAGTTGGTAAGAGCAGTCGCCCGGAAAGTGAAAGACGCGGGTTCGATTCCCGCTTCAGCGACTTTTCGGACCTATATTTTTCGCGCCTATTTCTCTATATGTAAGTTTCGAGATTAATTTATATATGGAACTTTGTGATCTCAAACCAAGAGATACAGTTCCGAATAATTAATTTTTCGTGCTTTGGCTCTGTTGGCCGAGTTAGAAAACATCATATTTATATTCTATAAACATTTTAATAAAAATTTTTCCTTAATGGCAAAAGTTGACCAAACTGGCAATCATTTATTATAAATAATTAGTTAAACTACAACGTTTTGGCTGTCATTGCAGCCCTTTTCAAGTAGATCAAACGTAAATGCATACTAAATTAGTACAGTAAATCAAGTTCACTGCATACCACCAACAATATTCACAATTGTTTTAATGAACAATGTAGAATTGACGGTGGTAAGCATGGAATAAATAGATGGTAACAGCTAGCAAGAATCTTAGTCACTAAAGGATTATTATTTGAGAACATTATAATAAGTCTAAAAATTCGCTATTTTTTCTAGAATGACAAAATAAGCGTTGTTAAGCAATTCGGTGTCTGTATTATTATTTATACCATGCTTTTGTTCCTTTATGTGTATCATCTCCGAGATAAGTCTTTTATGGCAGTTCGATTCCATATCAAGTATTTTAACGTTATCCCAATCAAAAGCATGTTTTTCATTTACAATATGTTCAGAGACCACCGAATGCTTGGAAGAATCAAATTTTATGTTATTAATATGCTCCTTTAATCTAGTACGTAATTTTCTTTTGGTTTGCCCAACATAAGAAACTTCACAGTCTTTACAATTAATTTTACGACATTATTATTATTATTATACACGTTTTTGTCCTTGTAAACTCTAATAAATTTGTTAAGATTATTAAGACAACGGCAACCCACTCTAAAATCTGATTTTTTAATTGTCGATGCTACTGTTTCAGAAATGTTATTAATATAGGGGATGACAAAAAACTTCTTGTTATTTTCCTCTGCAATATATTTTGTTCTTTTATTATAAAATAAAAATTGTTCACTACTTTTATTCTTCTATTGATTTCCTTAAAAATTAAATGAATGGGGTAACCGTTATCCAATAATATTTCAATACAATGTTCTAAATTTTTCTTGTGATATATGGGATGAGATAATAGTAATGCTCTATCTATGAGATTATAAATCACCCCTATTTTGTGGCACATGGGGTGATTCGATAAGAAAGATAGTACTCTATCTGAACAAGTCTTTTTTGAAACCAGTCTATGTGTATGACGTTATCAATGATCTTAATGTTTAAATCTAAAAAATTTATGCTTTTCTCAATTTCATATTCAACCGTAAATTGTAGTCGTTTATGGTAACTATTGAACTTGTTCAATATACTATCTACTTTATTCTTTGATACCACCATAATAATGTCATCTACATATCTATGATACATTCTAATATCAAAATCCAATGTGTTAATTATCGATTCTTCTAGATCTTGCATAACAATATTAGCAATTATTGGCGATAACGGGGAACCCATAGCCGTGCCATAAACTTGTTTGTAAACGATGCCATTAGATGTGAAATATGTTGACGACAGTATAAATTTAATCATAAAAATGAATTCATTTTTTGGAATTAATGTTTGTGTATTAAAATAAATAATCAAATTCTTGATGTTGCCAGTCAATAATTAAAATAATTTTAACGACCAATACTGGCTAATAAATATTTAATAATCAACACAACGTTTCGACCATGGGTTTTGGTCCTTATCAAGTGTACTACAAAAAAGTAATAAAAATAAACAAATAAAAATAAATTTATAGTAATGCGTAAAGATCTATATAAACAACGTTAAACTTTACCTTAAAATTAAAAACCGTATACGTGTTGTGCGAACGAAACTTCTTGTCATACTGTGATAATATAATAGCCGAGGACTACACAACTTTTAGTATATTGTCATAAATATTACTCAAATTATCAATGTCTTTTTGTAGGTTGATTGAGTTATTAGTTTTTTTAATGAAAAACATTTCCGCTATTCCTCTCTTGTTTACCGGTCAAACAAAGAGATTCTTAAGTACTCGAGTTAAAGAACATTTTAATAATATTAAATTGCACACGTCTAATTATTCGGTTATTAGTAAACATAAATTAGATTTTAATCACAATTTTGACTGGGCAACACCGACGATATTACACAATAAAAAACATAAAAAAGAGAGAAATAGCGGAAATGTTTTTCATTAAAAAAACGAATTTATAAAAAGAACTGAGGATATATTTAAAGTAAAACAGAATATACACCTCCTTCTTCTCGGCTATAGAGCCAAACACGATGTTATTGTGAAATAAAGTAAGAAAATTGAGGAATCTGGGAATTTCGTATCCTGTGGCTGGGATCTCAAAAACTCTCCTTGTACCTCTTTTTAAATACCCCTGTAAGAAATAGGCGAGAAAAATATTGGTCCGAAAGTTGGCTAAATCGGGAATCAAACCCGAGACCTTCCGCTTGCCGGGCGAATGCTCTTCCAACTGAGCAATTCAGACACTTACGAATAAATACTTTTCTCAATGCTTTTAACACCCCCCCCCCCCCCCCAAAGCGTCGTACTTAGGCCCAGACGCGAATAAACAATGATAAGAATCTCCACTTGATTCCTCTCGACCAATAGAGCCAAACGCGATGTTATTGCGACAGTTATGAAAGAAAGAACATCTGAAAAGGAATTTGAATCCTATGGTTGGGATCTCAAAAATTCCCCTGGTTCCTTCTCTTAACATCCCCTGTAAAAAAATAGGCGAGAAAAATATTGGTCCGAAAGTCGGCTGAATCGGGACTCGAACCCGAAACCTTCCGCTTGCCGGGCGACTGCTCTTCCAACTGAGCTATTCAGACACTTACGAATAAATATTTTTCTCAATGTTTATACCCCCCCACCCACCCAAAGCGTCGTAATTAGGTCCAGACGCGACGAACAATACTTATTGAGTCAGCTCTTTTAATTTTTAAAGCCACAATCTCCACTTGATTCCTCTCGACCAATAGAGCCAAACGCGATGTTATTGCGACAGTTATGAAAGAAAGAACATCTGAAAAAGGAATTTGAATCCTATGGTTGGGATCTCAAAAATTCCCCTGGTTCCTTCTCTTAACATCCCCTGTAAAGAAATAGGCGAGAAAAGTTTGAGATCCCAACCATAGGATTCAAATTCCTTTTTCAGATGTTCTTTCTTTCATAACTGTCGCAATAACATTGCGTTTGGCTCTATTGGTCGAGAGGAATCAAGTGGAGATTGTGGCTTTAAAAATTAAAAGAGCTGACTCAATAAGTAATGATAAGAATATTAAGAATATTAGATCGACTCTTATTAATACATCTTTATATATATAAATTACGTGTCACGTTGTTTGTCCGCGATGGACTCCTAAACTACTTAACCGATTTCAATCAAATTTGCACACGGTGTGCACTTGGATCCAACTTGAAACATAGGATAGCTTACATCTCAATTTATAGTCGCAATATTATTTTATTGCAAATTATTTGTTTATTATTATATGACAGTCACAATTATCTGTTATCTCCACTGTTGTCACAGATGGCGATATCTGTTGACTGGATTGTCATTTACTATGTACTTTTCAAAGTAAATATTATTATATGACAGTCACAGTTATCTGTTATCTCCAAACGATTGTCACAGATGGCGATATCTGTTGACTGGATTGTCATTTACTATGTACTTTTCAAAGTAAATGACTTTCCTATTTTGTTTTGCGCGGTGACTTCGTGAACAAAGCACGTATACATCGACAAAAACGACACCAAGTTCGTGTTGTCAGTCCCGATTATTCCTCCGAAATAGTTGCTGTAAAATTCGTGGAAATTATTCCTGCTTTTTAATTGTTAGTGCCTCATTGTTCAAAACAAGATATACATGTAAGTATTATCACATAGTTGCTATGCATCAAATCACACTGTGTATGATATATGTATTTTTATGGTCATGAGGTATTTTATTCAACCTATATTAAAAATTATTTTGCACTCCTTATTTCAATGTGCTATAGTAGCATGTTTTACAGTTTTATTTTTAATATTTAAACGTTTAAATTTTTATTTAAAGTCGAATGCCACCGAAAAAATCGAACCTCAGCAACGCGCGGAGCAGAGAGGCACGACGCAAACGTGCTGAAAGAGCTCATCTGTCGACAGAACAAATCTCAACAAGGAATGCAGCTCAAAACATCAGGACAGCGGAGGGTCGTGCACAAGAATCTCAAGAACAGCGTGACGAACGTCTGCGACAGACTATTGCGAGAACAAGAGCGGCACGAGAACAAAACATAGCTACAGCACGAGCACAAGAACGACAGAGGCAGCGGACCAGCCGCTCATTAACACGTGCATCATTTGTTCGTCTTGCTTTCGAATATGCACCAAATATTAACTACTCTGCGCATTCAAAAATTGCTATCGGTGCAATGGATAAAGTATGTCAATATTGTCAGGCATTGAAATTTCAGAATGAAACACCCGGCATGTGCTGCGCATCAGGAAAAGTTGTGCTGTCATCTCTTCCTACTCCGCCGGAACCTTTATTATCCCTTCTTGCTGGCGATTCAGATGATTCAAAATTATTTTTGCGTAAGATACGCAAATTTAATTCTTGCTTCCAAATGACGTCATTTGGGGCAACTAAAATTTGCGATCTCGCATCCGATGGACGTAATTTTGAAACTACATTCAAAATACAAGGCCAGGTGTACCATAAAATCGGGTCATTGATGCCAATGCCTGATAATGATCCGAAATTTCTTCAAATTTATTTTATGGGCAATTGTGAAGAGCGCGTGACAACTCGGTGCCAGTATAATTTCATTGAACAAGCAGAGGAAAGAGCAATTGTGATATTGCTGGAAAATTTTTTAGAAGATCAGAATCAACTAATTCAATTGATTAAAAGAGTTTCGCCACGATTGCAAAATGACAACTATCAAATCGTCATAAAAGCCGACAAAGTCCCATTAGGTGAACATGCTGGCAGATTCAACGCTCCAACTCTTGATGAGGTTGCTGTTATTATAGTTGATGATCCAGTTGACAAAAGAGCTATAAAAATTACACGGCGAGACAACACTGTTAGTACGATTTCGGATCTACACCGTTCATATGACGCATTGCAATATCCATTAATATTGTGGCAAGGACAGGATGAATATCACCTTAACATCAAACAGTGTGATCCAAATACCGGTAAATTTGACTATTAACTATTTATTTTCTTACTGTATGTACGATTTTTAATTTCTTATTTTATTTTATTTTTTATTTTTTTTAGGTGCTCAAAGAGATAAAAAAGTTAGTTCAATGAACTACTACGCACACCGATTGATGATTAGACATAATCAGGACAACTACATCCATCGATATCGTCAGCTATTCCATCAATACATTGTTGATATGTATGCTAAGGTTGAAAGCAAACGCTTGCGATTCATTCGATACAACCAGGCTAAATTACGATCAGAAGAATACATTCACTTACGAGATGTTGTTGTTGGAAACATCGACGGAAATTTAAACCCCAATGACATCGGTAATGCTTTCATTTTACCTTCAAGCTACATCGGCAGTCCACGGAACATGCAGGAATACATACAAGATGCGATGACTTACGTACGTCATTACGGCCGACCAGATTTGTTTATAACATTCACATGCAATCCGAATTGGAAAGAGATACAAACTTTACTATTACCAGGACAAAAAGTAATTCATCGTCATGATATAACTGCACGTGTGTTCAAACAAAAATTGAAATCCTTAATTGATTTTATTGTTAAATATTCAGTTTTTGGTATCACACGTTGTTGGCTGTATTCGATTGAGTGGCAAAAGCGAGGTTTGCCTCATGCCCACATTTTAATTTGGCTTCAAGATAAAATCCGTCCAGAAGAAATTGATCAAATAATTTCAGCTGAAATTCCAGACCGATCAATTGATCAAGAATTATTTGATATTGTTACCAAACACATGATCCACGGGCCGTGCGGTGCTTTCAACATGACATTACCATGCATGGAAAATGGAAAATGTAAGAAAAATTTCCCAAAGCCGCATACGAATGACACTATCACGGATATTGACGGTTATCCAATGTATCGACGCAGAAATACTGAGAATGGTGGCCACACATTCACGATGCGACTGCCGAATTCTACAAATCAAGTAGAATTTGATAATCGGTGGGTGGTACCATACTCACCATTACTTTCAAAAACTTATGAGGCTCATATCAATGTCGAGCTTTGCAGTTCTGTAAAATCAATTAAATACATTTGTAAATATGTAAATAAAGGCAGTGATTTGGCCATGTTTGGAGTACAAAATGTAAATGAAAATGACGAAATTACACGATACCAAATGGGTAGATACATCAGCAGCAACGAAGCTATTTGGCATATTCTTAGCTTTTCCATACACGAAAGAGACCCTGCTGTCCAGCATCTAGCAATACATCTTGAAAACGGTCAACGTGTATACTTCACTGAAGAAAATGTTCTCCAAAGAGCGCTTGAGGCTCCAAAAACGACACTAACTGAGTTTTTTACATTGTGTCAAAGATCTGACATTTTTGGCCAATTCGCAAAGACATTGATATATACTGATGTTCCACGTTATTTCACATGGAACAAATCTGGTAAAAAATGGGTGCCACGAAAACACGGAAAACCACATCCTTCCGTTACAGGCATATTCAAAGCTAAGACATTGGGGCGACTTTACACGGTAAATCCAAAGCAACGTGAGTGCTTCTATTTACGTTTATTATTGGTGAATGTTCCCGGACCAACGTCTTTTGAATTTCTGCGAACAGTCAACGGCCAAGTATTCAATACATACCAAGATGCATGTCGTGAACTGCAATTGCTAGAAGACGATAACCATTGGGACTTAACGCTTGCTGATGCTGCGTTGACATCAACGCCCAATAACATTCGTCAGCTGTTTGCAATTATTTTGACGACATGTTATCCATCACAAGCACACACTTTGTGGGAAAAATATAAAAATTGTATGACAGAAGACATATTGCACCGAATTAGACAAACAGATCAATGCCAAAACATAGATTATACGCTTGAGATGTATAATAAAGCGTTAGTGTTGATCGAGGATTTATGTGTTTTAATTTCAAATTTACCACTTAATCATTATGGTATGCTATCACCTGCTCGCCCAGCCGCCGACTTAGTCAATACTGATTTACAACGAGAAAAACAATATGACCATCGTAATTTAGCAACAATTATCGTGAACAGTGAGCCATTACTGACAGCAGAACAAAAAATTATTTATGATCGGATTATGCTGGGTGTTGCTGCTGAACAAGGCGGTTTTTTTTCTTGGACGCACCAGGTGGAACCGGTAAGACATTTTTAATATCGTTGATTCTTGCCAAAATACGGTCATAACAGAAAATCGCATTGGCAGTCGCATCGTCTGGCATTGCGGCTACTTTGCTAGATGGTGGGCGAACGGCACATTCAACATTCAAGCTGCCATTGGACATTCATAATAAGCCAAACGCATTATGTAACATAAAAAAGAATAGTGGAATAGCTGCAGTGTTGCGGAAGAGTTCACTCATAATTTGGGATGAGTGCACAATGGCACACAAATATTCACTCGAGGCATTGCATAGAACTATGCAAGATTTAAAAGGCAATGATAAACTTTTCGGTGGTGCTATCTTACTATTATCTGGTGATTTGCGATAGACCTTACCGGTTATACCTCGCTCTACTTTCGCGGATGAGATTAATGCATGTTTAAAACAATCATTTTTATGGCGAAGTGTTGAAACACTTCGATTGACTATAAATATGCGCATACAATTGCAAAATGATCCATCAGCACAAATATTTTCCGAACAATTACTAGATATTGGGAACGGTAAAATAGAACTGCAACCAAATACGCAATGCATTAAACTGCCAGACAATTTCTGCACTGTTCTTCACGGAAAAAATGAATTGATTCAGAGTATTTTCCCGGATATACAGAGTAATTACTTGAATCATAACTGGCTCAGTGATCGGGCTATTTTGGCAGCCAAAAATGTTGAAGTTGACGAAATTAACTTCCAGATACAACAGTTGTTACCAGGCGATCTGATGTCTTTTAAATCAATCGATACTGTTGTTGATGAAAATGAAAGTGTAAATTTTCCAATTGAATTTTTGAATTCACTGGATATACCTGGAATGCCACCACATAATCTTCGATTAAAGATTGGTTCACCTATCATTCTTTTGCGTAATTTGAATCCACCTCGATTATGCAACGGTACGCGTTTGGTCATCAAAAAAATCACCGGAAATATTCTTGAAGCAACCATTTTAACTGGAAAGTTTAAAGGAGAAGTGGTCCTGTTGCCACGTATTCCAATGATACCGTCAGATTCTACGATACCCTTCAGAAGGCTACAGTTTCCAATTCGTTTAGCTTTTGCCATGTCCATAAATAAGTCTCAAGGTCAAACAATGTCCATTTGTGGTTTAGATTTGGAAAATCCATGTTTTTCTCATGGGCAACTATATGTTGCATGTTCACGTGTAGGAAAACCGTCGAATCTATTTGTGTTAGCTAAAGACAGGTTAACCAAAAATATTGTGCACCGATTAGTGCTAAATTGAATTGAAAGTAAAAGTATTTATAATTCAAAATAATATATTTTATTGCTACAAATTTAAAACTATCTGCCCTACCTACCTCATTTATAAGTTTAAGTGTCACATGTTATTTACTAACAACTTTGTAATATACTCATTTGTTACAAACTTGAATACCAAAAATAATAAAATTTAAAATTAATTTTTTTGTATTGATTTCTACTTAATATCAACTGTACGAAAATTTTGACCAATCGTGTTCAAAGTCCTTCCTCTTCAAATCCCAATTCAGTCGATTTTTATACCAGCTTTAAGGTTTCCGTCTTCGTTCGTAAATATTAATTTCATTATATTAAGAAGTAACGGTAGTAGAAAATCAGTCATGGAGGTCACCATGTTTTTTTACAAATGGCATCTATGTAAAAAGCATAGTGATCCCCATGACTGATGTTCTTCTAACTTTCTCCGTGAATAGTTTACTACGAGCAATGTAATAATGTAAAAATGAATTTGTTATGTGTTCGGGCTTTATGCGTTCGCGCATCATTCAACTAATTGAGTTGAAATTGGTACAGTTGTTGTTGGCACTTGCGTAAAGGTTTCTGACGTAGTACCAACAATGTATAATAGGGGGCGCGCAAGATGTCGATTGAATAATTCACTTCTAATCCGTAGGATCAATCACATTATTATCTCGAGCGAAGCCGAGACAGGGCATACTAGTTTAATATAAATCACGATATACACCTCCTTCTTTTCGGCCATAGAGCCAAACACATGTTATTGTGAAATAAAGTAAGAAAATGAGGAATCTGGGAATTTCGTATCTTGTGGTTGGATCTCAAAAAACTCTCTTGTACTTCTTTTTAAATACCCCTGTAAGAAATAGGCGAAAAAAATATTGGTCCAAAAGTTGGCTAAATCGGGAATTGAATCCGAGACCTTGCCGGGCGAATGCTCTCCAACTGAACTATTCAGACATTTACGAAACAATACTTTTCTCATACTTTTAAGTAT